AAAAAAAAAAATACTTCACCTCTAAGTACCTCAGGATGTATTTTCCAAGTACGGGAACATTTTTGTATACAACCATATACTGTTGCCCTAACTGAGAGATCAACAGTAATTCAGGACTACCATCCTACATTCTATTACTCAAATTTCCTTTATTATTCCTCATTTCCTTTATAGCTCCTTTTCTTTCAGATCAGATCCAGTCAAAGTTCAAGCATTGCATTTGGCCCTTGTGCTTTTGTGGTTTCCCCAATGTAGAACCGTCATATCAATACTCTCTTTTCTTAAGAGAGTAAGTGAACTCGTCAAAGTGAATCCTTTGCTGAGTTCAGGCCAGTTGTCCTACAGAACATCCCATATTCTGGATCCTGGTCAAATTTTCCAGCAAGACTGCTATAGAACACATCACATCACATCAGGACGCACCTGAAGTGCATGTGCCATGTGGCCATGGTGGACATCTTAGTTAATGGGATGACCATCAGTTCTCTCCCTTTTATATAATGGCATGGTTTCCTTTTATATATATATATTTTTAAAGATTTTATTTATTTATTTGAGACAGAGAGAATGAGAGAGAGAGAGCACACGAGAGGGGGGAGGGTCAGAGGCAGAAGCAGGCTCCCCGCCGAGCAGGGAGCCCGATGCGGGACTCGATCCAGGGACTCCAGGATCATGACCTGAGCCGAAGGCAGTCGCTTAACCAACTGAGCCACCCAGGCGCCCCTCCTTTTATATTTTAATCTGTGGGGTGATCGTGGAATTTTTTTTTTTAATTGGTTGAACACACACACACACACATATATAACATGAAATTTGTTATTTTGACCATTTTTAAGTATAGAATTAAGTGGCATTCATTTCATTCACGGTGTTGTGCACCCATGTCCCCACTGCCTACTTAGAAAACTTTTTCAACATCCCAAACTTGGTAACCATTAAGCCAGAATTCTCCATTCCCTTCCAGTCTACTCTCTATCTCTGTGGATTTACCTATTCTAGATATTTCATAGAACTGGAATCACATAATGTTTGTCCTGCATCTGGCTTATTTCACTTAGCCTGATGTTTTTAAGGTTCATGCAATCTGTAGCATATATCAACACTTCATTGCTTTTTATGATGGAGAAGTATTCCATTGTATGTATATACTGCATTTTGTTTATCCATTCACCTATTGACGGGCACTGGATTGTTTTCATTTTTTGGCTGTTGCAAGTAATGCTGCTATGAACATTGGTGTACAAATATCTGTTTAAGTCCTTGTTTTTGGGGTGCCTGGGTGGTGCAGTCGGTTGAACGGCTGACTCTTGGTTTGGGCTCAGATCGTGATTTCAGGCTTGTCAGATTGACCCTGCACTCAGTACAGTGGGCTTAGGACTCTCTCTCCCTTCCCCACTTCTCCTCCCCCCTCCATTCATGCTCTCTCTTTCTCTCTAAAATAAAGAAATCTTAAAAAAACAAAATCCTTGGGGCACCTGGGTAGCTCAGTTGGTTAAGCAGCTGCTTTCGGCTCAGGTCATGATCCCAGGGTCCTGGGATCGAGCCCCGCGTCGGGCTCCCTGCTCTGCGGGGAGCCTGCTTCTCCTTCTCCCTCTGCCTGCCTCTCTGCCTACTTGTGCTCTCTCTATCTCTCTGTCAAATAAATAAATAAAATATTTAAAAAAAAAATCCTTGTTTTCATACCTTTTGGATATGTACTCAGGAGTGGCATTGTTGGATCATAAGGTAATTTTCTATTTAGTTTTAAAGAACCACCAAATTGTTTACCCCAGTGGCTGTACCATTTTACATTCCCACCAGTAATACATAAGGGTTCTCATTTTCCACAGAATATTATTTTTAAAAGAGTCATTAAGTAGGTTTGTTTACCTTTTCTTTTTAAATGTTATATAAACAGCTGTTGTGCTTTTTAAACTTTTGATGTCCTTTTAATAATAACTTTTTTGATTTTATGCAGCCTTAGACTAATTAAGACTAAGCAGAAAGAAGAAGTTAATTCATGGAAATGTCATCTGTATAAACTTGTTCTCCTGTTAGAATCTGCCGATGGTGAAATGCCTTAGCCCTTCCTTACTTTTTTACTGGCAGTTAATTACATTATAAAGTGTCTTATGACATTTCTTTTAATGTGCCTTTATTTAAATCTTTGAATTATTCTTTTTTTTTTTTTTTAAGATTTTATTTATTTATTTGAGAGAGAGAATGAGATAGAGAGCATGAGAGGGGGAAGGGTCAGAGAGAGAGGCAGACTTCCTGCTGAGCAGGGAGCCCAACGTGGGACTCGATCCCGGGACTCCAGGATCATGACCTGAGCCGAAGGCAGTCGCTTAACCAACTGAGCCACCCAGGCGCCCAAATCTTTGAATTATTCTTTGACTTTATGTGTCAAGCACTGTTTACCCAAAATGAGTCCTAAGTTTCAGGACTTGATACTTTTGAGAATTTTTTGATTCCCCTATAGTTTCTACCAATATTTCTGGTATGTAACAAACATCCACAAGAGGTTTAAAATAATTAGAAGCCATTTCTGCCCATAACAACTAGAGGTGATTTGAAAATCATTTATTTTCTTTTGTAGATAAGGGACATACTTTGATGTTTAATCCCATTTCAGTCTTCAGCAAACATTTAATAAAACCTGACTTCATGAACTAATGGTTTTGTGATGTAGTCAAGTTGCTTCATTAATTGGAGATATTATTTAAGATAATGAATTAAAAATAATTTACTTTTCTTTTTTTGGAGAAAATTGTAAACAGAAAGTAATTTTTTGATGATTAAAGAAGGTAAATCTATGTTATACTATTAAAAAAATAGGGTGCTGCCTTCACAGTAAGTAAGATTATTTGGTTAAACCAGATACCAGATTTTTTGATTCTTCAAACATCTGAAGAAGCTACATTTTGCTGCTGCCATTATTATTGTTTTTATGAACGTCAACTTTTCTCCTTTTCCAGCTGGATGGTCAGACATATTTTCTGTTATTTCTACAACTAGCTTATATCTCTTCCTGCCCCAGCAATATTGAGCAGTTTTAAGAGTTTCAACAGGGCAGATTCACTTTGTTTATCTTATGTAGGACTGCAGTGAGTAAGATATTGTAAAACCTTGTGACTAGGCATGTACTCAGACCTGGATGTCCTGGAGTAATTTGACGCTTTATGTGATGTATTTACAAATTCTAGCTCAAAGTAGTATATACTTTTAGAGCTAAAAGTGAATATATTGATCTATTTCAACCCTTTTGCTTTATAGGAAATCAGGACCCCGGAGAGGAAATAACTTGTACAATATCATTTATTCCTTTAGCAAATATTTACTGAGCCTCTGCCACATCCCATATACTGGGTTAGGTGATGGGAGCAAAAAGGTGGGAGCAAAATAGGAACAATTCCTGCTCTCAAGGATCAGACAGTGTATTAGAAGTATGGGATATGGAGTGATCTGGCCCCACCATGTTCATGTTGGTTACCAGGGTTGACTCAGCATATCTAGCTGCCTATGTGGGTGGGCCTTGCTTCTCTCAACATGTTTCTCAAACCTGCAGGATCCCTCTAGGGAATGACTCTCCTAATAAGGCCTCTGAATGAATAGTCATGCTCTGCTACTAAAGCCTCCTATTGTGAGAGCCTAAGCTGAACTTACTCATAGAGCAGGCCTTCTTTTTTTTTAACCACAATGTACTGATTTGTATGCCTTTTGTCTACCATTCTTTTTTTCTTTCTTCACAGTTAAGGAGACATAATAATCATCTGATGGTTTAATATGTTTATTCCAAAGCAAATTTAATGAAACTGAGTGGTAGTTTTAGGTCAACTTTTAAGAATTGCCTTCTTTTAACTTACAAAATACTAAAAAGGACAAGTAACCCCACGCCACCTATAATTGAAATTATATGATCAAAAGTCACAATTTGATATAATTTTTAGAAGCTTACTTAGGCAGAATGCTGTTATATTTTTTTCTTGCAGATAGAAGAACTCTGGAAGGCAGTGTAGCATAGTGCCTAAGGGCAGAGCTTTGGAATCCTGCTGCCTTGAGTTTGAATCCCCGCTCTGCTGTTGACTAGAAGCATGTG